CCAGCGCGCGGCAGCCATGTTACTAACAGGAGCGGGATGCAGGGAGCATACAACGCCCTTGTTGTTCCAGCTACACTGGCTGCCAATCTGCTACCGGGCCCAATTCAAGGTGCTGGTGTTGGTCTACAAAGCCCTAAACGGTTCCGGCCCAAAATACCTCTCGGACCGCATCTCGGCCTATGAGCCCACGAGGACTTTGAGATCGTCTGGGGAGGCCCTTTTCTCGATCCCGCCTGCCTCACAGGCATGCCTGGCGGGGACTAGGGACAGGGCCTTCTCAGTGGTGGCCCCCCAGCTGTGGAACACCCTCCCTGTAGACATCAGACAGGCGCCCTCCCTTATGACATTCCGCAAGAGACTAAAGACGTGGTTGTTTGAGAAGGCGTTTGAGTAAATGCTGCAACAATTGGCAATGACGATTGGAACGGAACATGGATAACGAGATTTGGATTGTGATTCAATGATGAGACGTCGCGAATGATTTAGTGTAATTGTATTATTGATAGTGATGTTTTTTATTGTTGTTTGTGATATTGCTTATGTTGCAAATTGTACCTGTTTTTATATGTTGTACACCGCCGTGAGTCGCCTTAGGGCTGAGAACGGCGGTCTACAAGTGCAGTAAATAAATAAATAAATAAATAGTAATATAATATATAATATAGTAATATAATATAATATACAATGCACCAGACATACGAAAATAATTACGAAATAATTACGAAAATTGGGAAAAATTGTTTCGATTCTTAATTACTCCTCACACTATTCCTGCATGGCTCGATATTGGATCGAAAGCTAATTTAAATACGAATCAATAACGAATAACGAAATTAACGAACTGGATCGCCCAAGCCTACTGGTGAGGTTGGAGGTATGTATGTTTCTCCCTGCCTCAAGGGTCAACCGGACTCCTGCGTGGGTGGCGTCCCCTCCTGCTTACCAAGGGGGGCATGTGTCCACGGTGCATCTGCCCCACGGTGACCTGCTGCTGTGGCGAAGGCATGCTGCCCACGTTGAAGGGCTCCGGCCCCGTGGACCCCGAGCGCATGACGGCTGGCAGGGCCACCGACCCGTGTTCCACTTTCCCGGTCCGGTTGAACTGCTGCTGCAAGATGGTGGACCTGCCAAGGGAAGGGAAAGGGAGGCTTGCATTGCACACCACAAACCAGATTCTCCGGCAGCCCAAACCAGATTCAGGCGCGTCACGGAACCTACTTTTTCGGCGAGACGGACTCCTCCAGCATCGTCGACTCCTCATCCCCTTCCAGCCCGAAACGGTCCTTGCTTTGCTTCTGCAAAAGAGATCAAGAGAGCCTTCTTCTTAGCCTCTCATCCTTAAATCCATAGATTTGGTCAAGACCAACAAAGACTTTACCATTTTATGCTTTCCTTAGTTTTTTACTGTATAGTTTATGGGAGGGAAGCATAGTTAGCTCTTTCCCTAGTTAACCAGTCCAGATTCATTATTATTTGGGCCCACAGTCATCTTTGGATGTAGGTGAACTACAACTCCCAAACTCAAGGTCAATGCCAACCAAACCCTTCTGGTGTTTTCTGTTGGTCATGGGAGTCCTTTGTGCTAAGTTTGGCCCAATTTCATCATTCGTGAAGTTCAGAATGTTCTTTGATTGTAGGTGAACTATAAATCCCAGCAAGTACAACTCCCAAATGGCAAGATTCTATTTCCTCCAAACTCCATTACTGTTCATATCTGAACATATTGTGTATTCGTGCCAAGTTTGGTCTATCATTGTTTGAGTCCACAGTGCTCTCTGGATGTAGGTGAACTACAACTCCAAAACTCAAGGTCAATGCCCACCAAACCTTTCCAGTATTTTCTGTTCATCAAGGGAGTTCTGTGTGTCAAGTTTGGTTCAATTCCATCGTTGATGGGGTTCAGAATGCTCTTTGATTGTTGGTGAACTATAAATCCCAGCAAATACAACTCTCAAATGGCAAGATTCTATTTCCCCCAAACTCCACCAGTGTTCACATTTGGGCATATTGAGTATTTGTGAAGAGTTTGGTTCAGATCCATCATTGTTTGAATCCACAGTCATCTTTGGATGTAGATGAACTACAACTCCCAAACTAAAGGTCAATGCCAACCAAACCCTTCTGGTGTTTTCTGTTGGTCATGGGAGTCCTTTGTGCTAAGTTTGGCCCAATTTCATCATTGGTGAAGTTCAGAATGTTCTTTGATTGTAGGTGAACTATAAATCCCAGCAACTACAACTCCCAAAAGGCAAAATCAATCCTCCCTCCAACCCCACCAGTATTTGAATTTGGGTGTATTGGATATTTGGTCCAGTGAATGAAAATACACCCTGCATATCAGATATTTACACCAAATTTGGACACAAGACACCTAATAACCCAATGTACGTCCTTCACTAAAAAAAAAAAATGATTTTGTCATTTGCGAGTTGTAGTTGCTGGGATTAATAGTTCACCTACAATCAAAGAGCATGATGAAATGGGGCCAATGATGAAAAAGGGGCCAATGATGAAATTTGGCCCAATTTCATCATTCACCAATGATGAAATTGGGCCAAACTTAGCAGAAAAGACTTCCATGACCAACAGAAAACACTAGAAGGGTTTGGTTGGTATTGACCTTGAGTTTGGGAGTTGTAGTTCACCTACATCCAAAGATGACTATGGATTCAAACAATGATGGATCTGGACCAAACTCGACACGAATACTCAATATGCCCAAATGTGAACACTGGTGGAGTTTGGGGAAAATGGAATCTTGACATACCTGGGAGGAGTCACTCTGGACCATGCTCTGACCTACAAAAAGCACTGCCTGAACATCAAGCAAAAAGTGGGTGCTAGAAACAATATCATACGAAAGCTGACTGGCACAACCTGGGGATCACAACCAGACACAGTGAAGACATCTGCCTTTGTGCTATGCTACTCTGCTGCTGAGTACGCATGCCCAGTGTGGAACACATCTCACCACACTAAAACAGTGGATGTGGCTCTTAATGAGACATGCCGCATTATCACGGGGTGTCTGCGCCCTACACCACTGGAGAAATGACACTGCTTAGCCGATATTGCACCACCTGACATCCACTGGGAAGTAGCAGCCAATAGTGAAAGGACCAAGGCAGAGACATCTCCAGCTCATCCCCTGTTTGGGTATCAGCCAGCACGTCAACGACTTAAATCTAGAAATAGTTTTCTAAGATCTACAGAGACACTCGCTGGAACACCCCAGCAAGCGAGAGTCCAAAAGTGGCAGGCTCAAACCCAGGCTGATACCCAATGAGAGACTCCCCCCTGGGCACACAGAGGACTGGGTGACATGGAGGATGCTGAACAGACTGCGCTCGGGCACCACGAGATGCAGAGCCAACCTCAAGAAATGGGGCCACAAAGTGGAATCCACGACATGCGAGTGCGGAGAAGAAGAGCAAACCACTGACCACCTGCTGCAAGGCAACCTGAGCCCTGCCACATGCACAATGGAGGACCTTCTTGTGGCAACACCAGAGGCACTCAAAGGGGCCAGATACTGGTCAAAGGACATTTAATCAGCTACCAAGTTTGCAAGATTTGTGTTTGTTTTTTTTTATCTGTTTGTTTGTTTTGTTCTGTTAGAAATGTAATACAATGTTTTGGTTGCGGATGACACGATAAATAAAATATACCAAACCCTTCCAGTATTTTCTGTTGGTCATGGGGGTTCTGTGTGCCAAGTTTGGTTCGATTCCATCGTTGGTGGAGTTCAGAGTGCTCTTTGATTGGAGGTGAACTATAAATCCCAGCAACTACAACTCCCAAATGTCAAGGTCTATTTTATCCAAACTCCACCAGTGCTCACATTTGGGCATATTGGGTATTCGTGCCAAGTTTGGTCCAGATCCATCATTGAGTTCACAGTGCTCTTGGGTTGACTTGAAAAGTTTGAGACTTAAAAAGCCAAAAATTAAAAACATTACAACGCATGCGCAAAACCACGAATATACACATATACACAAATAAAAACGCACATATATATATACACACAAAACACATATACACAGAATGGGCCACGGTAACGTGTGGCAGGGGATGGCTAGTCCTCCATATAAGAAGTTTTGTTCTTTGTAGCTAATCCCAACCCATTGACGTTCTGTGATATGCTTTTGGTATTGCGATTAAACAAAGGAATAATTAGATTCCGCTAGGAAGACTTTCCTGATACGAAGAGCCATCCAACCGTGGACTATAAGCGTCCAGTGGGGTCTCCCACAGAAAATCCTATGATTCTTTTCTCCAAGGACGTACCTTCTTGAGGATGATGTCGATGTAGCCGGCGATCAGCTGCGAGATCTGCTCGCCTTCCGTCGTCTGCACCGAGTAATAACTCTCTTGATACTCGCCGAAATCCTGCAAAGAAGACAGCCGTGTCTTGGTTACTGGAAGCGAAGCATTATGGTTTCCATGATAGGAACAGGCAAGGAAAGCTTTATGCCAATGTGGAGTAAAGGGTGGCTTTGGGGTCACATGGGGACTCCCCAGGATGGTTTGGGTGGCCCTTAAAACATAAACAAAGCGGCCTTTTTCAAGCAAATGGCAGTGGCAAATGGCTACTCCTGGAAGACTTTTAAGTGCAACAGGTTGCAAAAGCTACCTGTGCTCTCTCTGTGTGTGTATATATATCTATTAGGCTTGGGCGATCCAGTTCGTTAATTTCGTTATTTGTTATTGATTCGTATTTAAATTAGCTTACAATCCAATATCGAGCCATGCAGGAATAGTGTGAGGAGTAATTAAGAATCGATTTTTTTTCCAATTTTCGTAATTATTTCGTAATTATTTTCTTATGTCTGGTGCATTATATTGTATATTATATTACTATATTATTTATTTATTTATTTATTTACTGCGCTTATATACCGCAATTCTCAGCCCAAGGGTGACTCATTGCGGTG